TTTTCTTTTCTTTTTCTTTTCTTTTTTTTTTTTTTTTTTTTCTTCTATTAATATTTGCTCTCGTATAAGATAAGATACTGTAAACTTAGAATATCTTATTATAAGTGTAACGTAACAAAGTTTTCGTATCGTATCGCGAAACTTGGTCAACTTGATGTCTATTGTTATTATCTTTGTCCAGATTATAGTTTTGAAAAGAATTTTGATTCTCGCGCAGGAGAATTGTAAAATTGATTTAATTGGAACGAATCGTTCCAGGAAATCGCGATTATCATCGATGAGTTATTCGAAGTCGAAGTTGGTGACGATCAGTTTTCATAAATCGCGCGTCATCGGATTAGCAAGGATGGTTTGATTACAGTTTCTAACCGTTGTTATAGTTTGTTACGCGGTGTGTCATAAGGAAGGAATGACCACATTGAATCACGTCGTCGATCGAATTCGAGTCCCTCCCCGTCCCTCTACACGATGGATCGATATGGATCGTATGATTCGAGACACCGCGTGTTCAATCAATACGGGGAATGAAGAAAAATATGACGACATATAGGAAGAAGAAATCTTCTCTCTCTCTCTCTCTCTCTCGAGATTGTTTTCCTTCTTCCTGATTCCGTGTCGCGCGACCTTCTTTCTCACAATGGCCGCCGTCACTCGCGTGACGGACAACGCTTCACCGTACAAGGACTACATTTCGTACGTGGCTAGGATCGCGAACGCGTGAGCGCACCTACCGTGATGCTTTGCGTCAGCGTGCAACTCGGATTACGATGGAAATGTTCCATTGAAACGAAACTTGGAAGGGAATTCTTCGAAAAGAAAACGAATAATATAATCGAAACGGAAAGTTCGAGTCGAAAATGTGCAGAATCATCGATGCGCTTGAACGAATTATCGACTGTGGGTATACAGTCGCATCCCCTGATCTATTTGCGTCTTGGGTGACTAGCCATGTCATCGAGTCGGTTGGCACGGCTAGCCGCCACTACTCTCGTCACCGCCGTTAATAAACTCGTTGTGTTGACTCGAGAATCGTTCTCTTCTCCGACACTTTGAAATCATCGTCGTAATATATACGATCTTATTAATCCAATCCGGTCGGAGCTGGTAGTTAGTTTCCAACCCGTATCCTAATCTGTAATCTGGTAATCTGTCGCCAGTCCGTTCTACTAATCCATCCATTCTCCATTCGCAGATGTGCTAAGAAGACAAATTATGGTGGCAGAAATTGTCGCCCGTCAGAGTGGATCGCCCATCAATGGTGAGACCGCGTGTCTGAACAGCAATATGCCGGCCACCCACACGATAGCGCACACGAGCCACGGTGGCCACGGTGGCCACGATGCTCACGGGCCCCTGCCGCCTCTCACGCATCCCGTCCATCACGGCGGGCCACCGTTAACGTTGCAACAACAGCAACAACAGCAACATCAACACCAGCCCCAACACCAGCCGCCGCCGCCCCAGCAGCAACCGCCGCAGCAACACCATCACCACCACCAACCGCAGCAACAGACGCAGCAACAGCAGCAACAGTCGCACCACCACCACGACGCCCAACAGGTGACACATCCAGAAAATTTCCCCCCGAACTTCGACATCAGAAAAGAGCTATTTTCCCAGCGCAAGCAACGGGAGTTCATTCCGGACAACAAGAAGGACGACAGCTATTGGGACCGTAGAAGGCGTAACAACGAGGCGGCCAAACGATCGCGAGAGAAGAGGCGTTTCAACGACATGGTGCTCGAGCAGCGAGTGATGGAGCTCAGCAAGGAGAATCACATTCTGAAGGCGCAGCTCGAGGCGATACGCGATAAATTCGGCATCTGCGGCGAGTCCGTGATCAGCACCGAGCACGTGTTGGCTGCCTTACCCACCGAGCCGCCGATAGGCGTGAAAAGGGCGAAGATACCGCCCTCTGCGGCCCTCCTCTACGCGAGAACGCCGAGCCCTGTCCACACGTCGGTCATACATCAGCCGGTAAGCGGCGCGAGATCGCCGAGATCGCCGGCGCAGTTGTACGTGGCCGAGACGACCTCGTATCCGGAAACGGAGAGCTTCCAATACACTTACCCCCACCCAGCGATGCATCTCGACACGACGAGCGCCCTCAACCTGTCGCGCGGTCGACGCGCCCAGTCACCGTTCGAGTTGTCGTCCGGGAGCGGGGACGAGGGTCCCCAATTGGTCGTGAGCTCGCAAAATCCAGCCGCCAACAACAGTCTACCTCACAAACTGAGGCACAAGTCGCGCATAGGCGACAAGGACGCGGCGAGCGCTCTGCTGGCCCTGCAGGGTATTAAACAGGAGCCGGGGCCGAGGGCGTCACCTCCGTGGGACAACGAGGGCTCGAGCGACGAACGCGACTCGGGCATCTCATTGGGCGCCGAGTGGACCGGCTCGACCGTTTCCACCGTCCCCGAGAACGAGAGGGAGGTAAAGTCGAGGTTGGATCGCCTCGCCTCCGAGGTGGCGTCCCTGCAATCGATACTTCGCATCGGGAAACCGGCGGAGAGCAGTCTGGTCACGGGTCACTCGTTACCCCCGAACGCCGCCGTGAACGGGCCGTGAAACGGGTGGGCCTCGTCGTATCCTCTTCATTAGATTTCTCGGAGTGAGCGGGCGAAACGTTGAACACGTTGCTCTTCGAGGAGCTCTTTATATCGCGACGATTTCTCGAACGCGAGAATGGCGAGAGAGAGAGAGAGAGAGAGACTTCTCGATCGCACGCGCAAACGAGCGTGACGATGACGATAATGGTTGATAGATAATAGATGGGAGTAGCAGTCGAGTGATCGTCGCTTGATCTATACGTTTTTTCTTCACATATATGCGTATAAAGCAGCGTGAATCGAAGCAGAGAGACGAAGAGGAAGGAGTGTACATCTGTCGAACAATTACGATTACCAACTTTTTGCAGTATTGGATCAACGTGTACTTGTTTTGGTAACGGCGGCCAATTGAATACGTTTCTTCTCTTGTTTCTAATAAGGAGTAAGGACTAAACACGATCGACGAGACGAATCGAGGATGCGTTTCTCTGTTTTTTTTTTCGGGTGCCCTATTTGCCAAAATGGGACTCCCTCTTTTTGTCCCACGGTATCGTAAGGATTAGATGATAAGGAAGATGCGATATCTGTAGGCTATAAATAACTTATGTAAGTAAGATTTTCTTAAGATACTTTCGTTTAATTATTATTATTATTATGTTATTATTATTGTTCTTATTATTATTATTATTATTATTATTATTATTATTATTATTATTATTATTATTACTATTATTACTATTATTATTATTATCATTGCTATTCATTAGTGAATTCATTTTACTTGATTGGAAATATGGTGCGGCGACTAATCGAAGCGATAATCCATTCGTGCACTTAGATTTGAAGCAACGTTTCGAATAGCTCGAAGATTCGATATATTCGATTCGATGCGACGATCCCTTGGCGGACGAGAAAACCAAACTCGTCGATTCGAAGATCTTTGGACGACTCGTTTTTATTTATCCTCGTTGAATTAAAATTCTAATTGTAATATATTAATAAACGCGTCTTGTAATAAAATT